CACCAAAAAACTAAGCCTAAAAAAATTAAGCATCAATGTGATAATTAAATGAAATTAACAACTAAATTGAAATCATTTATTTTCTTTTAATTATCAGATATATGTGCATGGCAGTCATATCTTTTGACTAAAGGTAATAGAATTATCAGTAGTCATTAATTGAAGAGCTAATTTGCTTTAATTGCATGGTTGAAGTGGTTATCAGCGTTTTTTAAATTTAGGGGCATATTTTCAAAAATGGGGAAAGTTTGAGGGCTTAAGAAATGGTTTTGCCAAAACAAACAATAAGATCTGTCCCTTTGAATCCCAGCAAGAAAACATGCAAAATGAAATGGTTAAATGCCAAAGTTGTCCCTTAAATTTAGAGTTTTGCATAATTTTTATCATTTAACTTTTTTATACTTTTTTTAGTCCTTCAATTATAAAAATTGTGCCTTTTTTTATTCTTTCATCAATTAATCCATCAAGTTTGTTTATACATATACATTTTCAATCCTTATGCTTTTAAGTTGAGGGAAAAAAATATACATACCTTATAAGTTGAGTGACAAAAATGTACATATATTATAAATTGAGGGATTAAAAATAAATATATTTAGATAAACTTAATAAACTGATAAAAAGATTAAAAAATAAATTTTTATATAATTTGAGAGATTAAAAAAGGACATGAAAAGATTGAGAAAGTTGAGATATCAAAATTGATATTTAACCAAATAAAATAATTTGTTCATGTCTTCTTTTTCCCATGAAATCAATCGTTCATCTTCTCTTTTTTCCCTGGATAAGCAAATTGAGAGTAGTATCCAAAGAAAATGGGAGAAGAAAGTGATGGAAATATTATATATATATATATATATATATATATATAAGAGAAGGTTTATGAGGTCAGGGGAGAAAACACAGAGGCAAACAGAATAGTGAGGCGGGGACTGTCAGGAAGAAGAGAGAAAAAAGGCTTTTTTAGGGTTTCCCAAAAAAAAAGGGAGACTATTTATGTCTAAAGCAAAATTAAAGTTAAAATAATAAGAAAATAAAAATTTTAAAAAGAAAAAGTAAAATGGGCCAAACGATAGGTGCAGCCGTGCAGCAGTAAACTAGAGGCTCAAATGGTAAATCAAATATTGGGCCTCCATACCAATGCCGAATGACAGCCCAAAATGGTAATGCCAAATGAAATTACATTAGGAGCTACCGATTTGACATTTTTACCGTACCATTATTATTATTTAAAATTTAAATACAAGTTTTCAAACAGCAACATACAACATAAATATAAATACAATACAATACAGTACTAAGTAAATGAACAGGAAATTTCCAAATTAAACTCGAAGTCAAAATAAAAAAAGAAGAAAGAAAAAGAACACTCTAGAATTATATTTGGCAGACAATTTCATGAAGTGGCTGAGATGATCTGCAACTCGTGAACAAGTTCCTTCTGAAAGAACAAGGATAGAAGAGGCCAAGGAGGGCCTTGCAATGCTGTCTCTACCTGTCTGGTCATCTCTTCTTTTAAGGAGGTAATCCCAAGTAATTGATCAACAACCAAACCAAGGTGAGAAGTTGTCCGCCTCTGCTTACTTGTCGTGCATGGACAATGGGTTGGCAATGAATAGCAGCATAGCATAATAGTTCTACCCAAAACCTGCTCATTAAGTTCCACGGACAACCACCGGGCTGATATTGGAGGAGCTCCTTGGCAAGAAAACCTGAAACGGCTATCCTGGGAAAGCGAGCTATTTCAGGCTTCTCTTGGTAGTCTAACTTGTCCACATCTTTCTTCAACAGATCTAGATTTATATAAGCATTTTCTGCTTCGCCTTCCAATAGCTTATCCAGTGGATCTTTAATGAATGTTTCTTTGGATCCCTTCTTCCAATAACTTGGCCACTTCCATGTTCCATCTGTGGCCTCAAAAACTAACTTCAGACTGTTAGGCGAGGTGGCTGTCATGGTAGGCTCCATTACCAAAAGGTAGAACATATAATCTGAAATCAACTTACATATTTTTCGGTGATCGAAACATTCATTAGAAGTTGATGTAGAACTGCTGGAGCTGTTATCTGGACATACCCTTCGGTAGCATATTTCAGTAGCTATGTGCCATATCAGGAGGCTTTCCATGTACTCAAACCTGTCGAGGGTCCAAGCGAAGTCGGTAATATGACCCGTCAGAATTCTAGATGGACCAAAGATTTCCTTGCCAGCCTCGCCAATATCCTTTTCTCGTAGCATTGTAAATATGAACTTCCAAGCTTGTTCTTCTTCAAAATTTTTGAGGGACACACACTGGATCCTTCTTCTTATGCTTTCAAACAAACTGCTTGTGCCAAGAAAATAAAACAATTTGTTTGAATAATATCCATCTTTATTCTCGAAATGACAAGCAAAAACATTTAATTGGGGAACTAAATTCGACCACCTGCGCCTTTTAATGAATTCATCACAATTCTTTCTGGAAGTGTACTTCCTAATGATAATCCAATCAGAGAACATAAGTAACCAGATGGATATCAAATCCAATGCCAATGCCCCAGTCAGCAACCCATATGTCAGGCAGATGTCAAACTCCCCCAACTTATTATGGTAGTACTTTTTAAGTAATACTGAGAATGACACCAAGGCTCCCAAGATGCAACCAAAGTTAACCGTGCGGCAAATATAACCAATCTTGGAATCAACTACGGGCAACTTGGTATGAAGGAGCTCATACAAGAGGCTTAATTGGATCTCTATGGTTCGAAGCGTCTCATGTGAATCTCTTTCTCGCATTAAATGACAAACATTCGTTTGTTCTGTTTTAGTCATGGGAGGACCTACAAGTAAGCTCTTGATAGAGCCAAACGTGCATGCTGCCTTCAGAACTATCGGACATGACGCAGCCTCTGGCCAAAACACATAAAACGACGGCTGAAGAGCTTGTTGAAATCGTGCTGGAATGGGAGGCATATATGGTCCGCGGAACATTGGAGGGCCTACAAGATGTAACCAATTATTCCCGAAATGGTCAAAGCTTGCGAGATAAAAGGCACGGTTGCGCTCAGCATATTTGATAACCCCTGCAATTAAAACTAGGAGAGTTGGCGGCCAAAGTTTGTTACGTGGGAGTGACTGAAGGATAACATAGATGGTCGAACCAACTTGTAATATAAGCCAAAGCAAGTGCCTAATCCAGAATTCATTGTCCTCCAGAGAGAAGGACGTAATAGTGTCAGGGCCACCAAGATGCAACAAAAGAAAGGGTGCCCAAAAGGCCAGAATGTCACTATGTTCAGCACGCAACATGAGTCCAATAGTAAATGTAGCCACCCAATCTGCAAGCAAGTATGCTATCCAGAGTGGAATCATGATGATCCATTTCCCACCTCTTCTCTTCCTCAATTGTGCAGACAACATTAGGAAAGACTGCAGCAAGAGACTTAGAATAATTAGGACTCTGATATTCCAAGTACCCCATAGCTTCTCGACGTCTTCAGCAATGAGCAGTGGCATCTTCTTTAATCTGCTTTGTTTTGTTTTGCCAGAAGCAGTCCAACTTTAACCAACACACTTAGGGATGCACAATGAGTCTAGTTCAACAACAACGTCCTGAGTTGGATATCCTACATTAATAGATAACAGACATCGGTTTCAATTTTTTGAGACTGGAAAATTTATATGTTAAGAGGAAAAAATTTAAAAATTCTAATGTATTTTATTATTATTAAATATTGCAGTAATGTAGTTGATTGATTTTGGTACAGCTACAATTACAATTTTATGTTTTACTATTAATTTGTAAGCTTCTGGTCCCTTCGGTGTCTCCTCTCTCCCCTGTTTTTTCGTTTTTCTGTTATACTACTCCGACCGTTCCGTTCGCAAGTTTCCTTGGCAAGCGCATTGTTAACTTTGACGGTTCCATACCTCTAATAAGTAAATTTCTTAAAATAATTAATTTTAATTCATATTTTAATAATTTACCATACTTTCTTCTCTTTATATTAATAATTTATTTATT